AAGGAAGGAAGGAAGGAAGGAAGGAAGGAAGGAAGGAAGAAAGAAAAGAAAAGAAAGAAAGAAAGAAAGAAAGAAAGAAAGAAAGAAAGAAAGAAAGAAAGAAAGAAAGAAAAGAAGAAAGAAAGAAAGAAAAAGAAAGAAAGAAAGAAAGAAAGAAAGAAAGAAAAGAAAGAAAGAAAGAAAGAAAGAAAGAAAGAAAGAAAGAAAGAAAGAAAGAAAGAAAGAAAGAAAGAAGAAAGAAAGAAAGAAAAAGAAAAGAAAGATTAGTCTTTCTTTTCTGACACTTCAGAAAGTAATAAAATTATAACCTTATTCAATGAGGGAACAGATGTGAGAGAAAGAAGACTACTCTGCATAAAGACACTTATCATATCACTCTGCCTTATAAAACACGTAGATGTTTTCCATCGTTTAAGGTTAGATTAGAGGGGCGCTTGGGTGGCTCAGTTAAGAGTCTGCCTTCGGCTCAGGTCATGATCCCAGGGTCCTGGAATAGAGTCCCGCATCGGGCTCCCTGTTGGGCTGGAAGCCTGCTTCTCCCTCTCCCACTCCCTCTGCTTGTGTTCCCTCTCTTGCTGTGTCTCTCTCTGTCGAATAAATAAATAAAATCTTTAAAAAAATAAAGTTAGATTAGAAAAGTAAGAAGGAGCAAAATCTAAAATTGAAAAAATTGAAAAAAAACTAATGCAAATAATTGTAAAACTCTTAATTTGGTAAGAGAGCCAATCAGAGATAAGAATCATTTCAAGTTTCTTTTTAAGAAAGTACTTACACTCAGAGTCAAGCATCCTGGGACAAAATAAACACAAAACATTTTAACCTTCATTTGATAGTTTAACTGGTGATAGTAATGTTTGCATGACACTTTTGATATTGTTTTCATGGATATTGAAATATAAGAATATATAAATAAAGAGAACAGGGGAAAATGTGTTAAAAAGGTTTTTTTTTAACCCTATATTACTAAACTTGAATTGGAACATCCGATAGGAAATAATGAATTTGAAATTTCATTTCTATTTCAAATTTCTGACAACTGAAAGACCCTGGAAGTAAAGACACTTCAACAGTATTGAACACTCCCAACTACCAGGAATAGTACAACTTGGATTCTAAGTACTGTTCTCCAATAAAAAGAATCAGAACTTCTTGGAAAGATATGTGATTATAGGTGTTGCACAGTGGAAATAGACAGTGAGCCTGGAATGTCATGTTGTGCTAAAAAGAAGAGAAATACTCAAAGACTAATTGGGGATATAACAAAGCAATCCAGAGCCAGTTGCAAGGCACTCACTAGCCAAATGTGGGATCATTTGTGCTTCAAAGAATAATGATTATAATTGATTGTGACAGACTGAGTAAATAAAAATTCATGAGTCTAGGCTGATACCATGTTTAAAAAGTCTTTAAAGCGATCGCAGAAGGTCACTGATGCATCAAGTCCTTACTCCAAAAATTGGAAATAAAGGGCAAAAATAAAGATTTATCGAATCTCTTTAGGTGAAAGTTTAATTTAAACAGAGTTGATAAATTAACACTCACCTTACCCAAGAATGACAATAAGTGCAAAAAAACGATATGATTGATCTTAAAAATCACTATTTTGAAATAATTGATTATATACAAGTATCATAAATAGATTCCACAAACATTAGGTGAAAGGTTTTGGAGAAGAGTATGTACACAAGCATTAACATTAAAAGCAAAGATAACTTGCCAATTCTAACAGTGTTCCTTTATATGTGAGAAAACTGGCTGTCACCAAGGATGCACATTTAGATAAATTGACTCCCTTGGTGACAGCCAGGTTTCTCATTCTAAGCAAGAATGCCGCTTGATTTAATGCAATGCAAAATTACAAGATATCACCTTAAAAATTTTTTACCTTAATTATGTATATCTTGATTTTCATCTTAAAGTTGTGTTTTTGTAGAAATTTAAAATGTTTATAGTCAACTGATTTTAATTATGCTGCTTGAAATGTATGAACATAAAAATCATATTTCAGACTTGTCACTGAATGTTTCCAAAGCCCTCCATACCAGCAAAATCATGAAAATACTTTTAGATCTGAAGATAATCACCAGAGGTCTTTATAGTTCTTGATATATATTGTCTTACTTTTTACATATCTTTATTTTAAAATAACATATCCTATGGTTCAAAGGTGATATATATTAAAGATAGAAAAATTGGAGAATACAGGTAAATATAAAGGAGCTAAACAGCCACTCTTCCCTCTATTATCTCTAAATTCAGTTATAGTTATTACAAATTTTTGTGCTTTCTGCCAGCTTCTATTCTATAAACATTTATTCAGTGTTCAAAGCATAGTGTGTGTGTGTGTGTGTGTCCGTGTGTGTGTGTGTCTGTGTGTGTGTCTGTGTGTGTGTGTCTGTGTGTGTGTCTGTGTGTGTGTGTCTATACTTGATATTGGACTTTTGAAATCACTTTTAATGTAATAATAGTTATACACCTAATTAGATTTGAATTCCTCTTCATGATTTGTTTGAATTATTATGTTTGCTAGATATACATCTTATAGGAGATCATGCATTTTATCATTTTTTGGCATATATATTGAGAGATAAAAGTAAATGATAATTTCATATATCTCGTTAATAACATAGGTATGACACAATTAGGTTTCTATGTGTTTGTGAAGTGATATGATTTTGAAGATGGATGCAAGCATTTTTTCCCCCCATTTCCTCTGAAATGGAGAGCCTCAGGAAGCCTCAGGAGTTATGGAGAAACGTTTGAGAAAGTTAAGAGAAGGTGGAAAGAAGCAGGCATGGAAGTGATCGCAACTAATTTCTTGACACAGATATTTTATGAATAGGACACATAGCATTTTGGTTCACCAAGTTTTAATATGGTGCTTTTAAGAAATGATTCATTTGTCTCTCAGGTTATATCATCCACATTCTATTTAACACCAAATTCTGATTTATGAATAAAAATGAGTTAAATAATAGTTGAAAAAATGAGAAGAATTGGATTCATAATGAAAACTTGGGATAAACGTACATATTTTAATTTTAGGACTGCATCTTAACCATTGCTTTATACACAAGTGGGATACATCACTTTCCCTTCCCAACAGGTTACTCGAAATGCATGAGCTGGTGACTTTTTATGATATCCAGCTTTACATATAAATTCAATATTATCCCCTGTTTTAGAATAAAATTTTTTCTCATGTCTCCATCGTAATTGTATGTTATGCTTTTCCATGATTTCTTCTGATACCACACATGCATCTGAAAGTACAAAAATGAATATAAAACATTAAGTAGCATACAAATATTTGCCACAGAATTTCAGACTTTCAAGTAGATTATTCTACATTGGCCTAGCACTTCATTCTCAAACCTTGTTCCAAACCAACTCACTGAAAATCCATCATGTAGATTTAAATCATTTTAAACAAAGGATGTAAAAATGAGGTACTGGGTTTAATGTATAATAATTAGATATTATAATCAAAATACAAAATGTCAGCTATCACAGGAAGAACTTTTATTAAAGAATCTTTTGTTGCCCTTGTTGCTTGAACAAGAATTTTTCCAACTTGATTTCCTCAAATATTAATATTTGGTAGTCAAGACTTCAACAGAATTGTTGTTTGTTAATCCATGAAAATTCTATAAATAGGAAAACATCATATTCAGTACACAAATTTTCCCAGGATCTATGAAAATATGAAAATATTTACCCAAGCATTTTGGTGGTTTTGACCACTGTCCATTCCTACATATTATAGTCCTGTTTCCCTGAAGTGCATAGAAGTGCTGGCATTGGTACTCAACTGATGATCCTGGAGCATAAGCTGGTAATGGGAATGAGGTAATGTCTCCATTGTCAATAGGTGGAGGGGGATCACATTTTCCTTTAGGGTCTAAAAAAAAACATTACTTGATTTATTGAAAGGCCAAAGGAAAACACAGGCAAGCAATAAAGATACAACACAGTCCTTCATATTAAGACATGTGATTTCTGCTAACATAAATGATTCATTGAAGAAATTTTAATCACTTAAAATGAGAGTTACATTTTTGAGCCCTTCCTTTTACCCCACATGAAAGCACACATAAGGCATTAACAAATATGCCTGCTTTACATTATTTCAGTATTAAAAAATGCTTTGCTTAGAGAATATATGCTGAACAGATGGATAGCTTAGATACAGAAAGGTCGTTTTTATATACAACTTATTATAGTATCCACTGGATCTCTAGTCATTTTTTTTTCATTATGTTCAGTTAGCCAACATAGAGTACATCATTAGTTTTTGATGTAGTGTTCAACAATTCGTTAGTTGTGAACAACACCCGGTGCTCATTACCACACGTGCCCTCCTTAATACCCATCCCCCAGTTACCCCATTCCCCCACCCACCTCCCTTCTGAGACCCTCAGTTTGGTTCCAGGAGTCCAGAGCCTCTCATGGTTTGTCTCCCTCTCTGATTTCTTCCCATTTCATTTTCCCTCCCCTCCCCTGTGGTCCCCCATGCTATTCCTTATGTTCCACATATGAGTGAAACCATATGATAACTGTCTTTTCCTGACTGACTTATTTCACTTAGCATAAGCCCCTCCAGTTCCAACCATGTCGATGCAAGTAGTAGGATCTCTAGTCATTTTTTATTGATTTTCATTTTTATTACAAAATAAACATCCCCCCTTTCCTAAATTCAAAGAATTACATGTTTGTATAAAGTGAAAGGCAACTGCTAGCTTCCTATTCTGGACAAGATGAGGTCAAAACATTTCTGCTTCCAACATAAAAAGAGATTGCCCAGGCCTAGCAAGACAGAGGCATTTCTTACAATACCTGAACTACTCCAGAGAAACACCATAGAAGAAACCTAAGACCACCCCTTTCTCCACCTTGATCAACAGAGGCCAGGTGAGGAGCCTAGACTTCTACCCACACTCCTAGAGAACAAGACACCACTCCCTTTTCCCGTGATGTTGGGGGAAGCCAAGTGGGAAGCCTGGACTTGTACCTTGCATGGTAGTAATGATGGCCTAATAAATAAAACATTTCCAAAGAATGCAGAGTTTTGTTTATTTATTTTAGGATTTTATTTATTTATTTGACAGAGAGAGACACAGTGAGAGATGGAACACAAGCAGGGGGAGTGGGAGAGGGAGAAGCAGGCTTCCCGTCAAGCAAGGAGCCCTATGTGGGGCTCGATCTGAGGACCCTGGGATCATGACCTGAGCCAAAGGCAGGCGCTTAACTGACTGAGCCACCCAGGTGCCCCAGATGCAGAGCTTTAAAACATAATACTCAAACTGTCCGGAATATAATTGGAAATCATTCATCATAGCAGGGACCAGGAAAATCTCAAAAGAGAAAAGAAAATCAACAGAAGACCACACTAAGATGACACAGATATTGGAAATATTTGACAGCGGCTTTTAAAAATTCAGTGGGAAGTATAGAACTGAAAACTGTAACCATTTCTTTTCGAACTCACTAGGTGAGCTCAATAATAGATTGCAAATGCCAGAAGGATACATAAACTTGAATGTAGAGCAATACAAATCACTCACTTTGAAAATAGACTGAAAACAAGCAAACAAACAAACAAAAAAAGGGACAGAGCTTCAGGGACCTGTGGGAAGATAACAGAGTAGACACTAGGAAAAAGAAAGAGGAAGGGATTGGAAATGAAAAAAATATTTCAAAAAATAATGGCTGAAAATTTCCCAAATTGGTCATAAGACATAAATATGTATGCTAAAAAAGCTGAGTAATCTCCAAACAGGTTAAACCCAAAGAAATTCATGCCAAGATACATCATAATCAAACTGCTGAAAACTATTAAGAAAAGGAAAAAAGTATCAAAAGCTAGATAGAAATTATGCAAACCAATGGGGGAAAAAGGACTCAAATATCAGTGGGGTGCTCATCTCTGACCATGGGGTCAGAAAGAACTGTCAACCCCAAATTCTATATGCAGTGACACTATCCTGTAGGATTTAAAGGAGAAAGGAAGACATTCTGAGGCAAAGGAAACAGAATTTGTCTCCAGCAGACCTGTCCTTAAAGAATTTATAAAGGAATTCTCTAAGTAGAAAGGAAAAGATAACAGAAGACTTAAGACTTCAAGAACGAAGAAAAAAAAATGGAACTAATAAAAATAGGGTAATATAACAGACTTTTTCCTAGTTAGTTGGTTAAATTATGTTTGATGTTTGTACAAAATTAAATCACTTGATATGATTTGATGTCTGAGCAAGACTATATCACATGCTAATTAATGTATGTGGAGGAAATACCTAAGAGCTTTATGTTAAAAATGTGGGGAGAGTAAAAGGACCTAAATGGAAGCAAGGTTCCCACATTTCACTTGATGTGGTAAAATGTCAATCCTGGGGGGAGTAATAAGCTATATATGTGCATCTTCATACCTACAGAAACACTAATAAAACTACACAAAGAGATATGCTCAAAAACAATATAGATATATCAAAATAAAATGATTTTTAAATGTTCAAAAAATCCACAGGGAAGGCAAGAAAACAGGCATTAGACACAGAGGAAACACACATAAAACAAATAATAAATGGCTGATACAGTCCCTAATCTATCAATAATTACTTTAATTGTAAATGGTTTAAATACTTCAGTTAAAAGACTAAAAATGGGGCACCTGGGTGGCTCAGTCGATTAAGCGTCTGCCTTCAGCTCAGCTCGTGATCTGAGGGTCCTGGGATCAAGCTCCGCATCGGGCTCCCTGCTCAGCGGGAAGCCTGCTTCTCCCTCTCCCACTCCCCCTGCTTGTGTTCCCTCTCTCGCTGTGTCTCTCTCTGTCAAATAAATAAATAAAATCTTTAAAAAAAAAAAGACTAAAAATGTCAGGATGACATAAACAAGACCCAGCTATATGGCATCTATAAGAAACTCTCTTCAAACATGAAAACATAGGTGGGTTCAAAGTAAAAGACTGGAAAATATATATGCCAGGCAAAAGTTTATTTGAAATACTACAAAGAGTTAATATAATAACACATTTTTTTGACTCCCTTTATTTCCTGAACTCTAAATACTAGAGAGTTCTATGACCAAATACTCAGACTTTTTTTTCCTATACTCACTGGTCCCTGGGATAAACTCAGGTAGTAAACTACCTTGAAATATAATTACATGCTGAAGAAACCCAAATTTATTTTTTAATTTTTTTAGTGTTATGTTAATCACCATATATTACATCTTTAGTTTTTGGTGCAGTGTTCCATGATTCATTGTTTGTTCATAACACCCAGTGCTCCATGCAAAACGTGCCCTCCTCAATACCCATCACCAGGCTAAACCATCCCCCTACCCCCCTCCCCTCTAGAATCCTCAGTTTGTTTTTCAGAGTCCATCATCTCTCATGGTTCGTCTCCCCCTCTGACATACTCCCCTTTTCTTCCTCTCCTGTTATCTTCTTCTTTTTCTTTTTTCTTAAAATATGTTGCGTTATTTGTTTCTGAAGAAACCCAAATTTATATCACCATCTATGATCACACCCCAGCTGCCTATTCCATGTCTCAAAGTGGAATTTCTTGGGCTGTCAAATGTATTTGTGGTAGCTTTAATACATTTGTTCCTCAGGAAATAACTCAGTGTCTAATGCTTATGACAGATAATTTTCCATGATTCCAACTGTTCTTTTAATCTGGCCAAATCTTTCATGAAACAAATATACTACATTACTTAGTTCAGTCTGCCCCCCAAAAACTGAATTTTAAGTACCATCATTTTATTTGTATTTTAAAAAATATTCCATAAAAGAGAAATGGCGGCTGATGGTGACAGTGGTTCAGATGAGACTGAGGACCAGAAAGGGAATGTGACCTCCCCAGAGTCACAGAGTAATAATTGGTAGAGCTGGACAAGAACCCAAGCCTGTAACTGAAGAGACCAGAGGTCTTTCTGTTATACCCTTGGGAAGAAGATGATCTTCACAAATTATCTTGTGGGAAAAATGCCTAAAGTCAAAAGACGCCAGAAAGCTCCCCCAGATGGTTGGGAGTTGATGGAGCCAACCCTGGATGAATTAGATCAAAAGCTGAGAGAAGCTGAAATAGAACCTCATGAGGGAAAAAAGAAAGTGGAATCTCTGTGGTCTATCTTCAGGATCCACCACCAGAAAACCCATTATATTTCTGACCTCTTTTAGAAGCCGAAAGCCATAAGCAGAGAACAATATGAATATTGTATTAAAGAAGGCTATGATAAAATCAGATAAAAACCTGATCACAAAATGGAAAAAGCAGGAGTATGAGAATTTATGCTGCCTGTGCTGCATTCAGACACAGACACCAATTTTATGGAGGAACTGCATTATTTTCTGGGTCCCCAAAAGCAAGCAGGAAGTGGGCCGGATCATCGACTGTGCACACTGCAGCTGCTGGGGCTGCTCAGGCTGAGGCCCTCAGGCCCTGACCCCTCTTGACCCTGAACTTTGGACTTCCCGGGTTTCTGCCTCTTGCGCCACCCCCTTTCCTGGAAGCATAGCTCTTCTCACAGAGCGATGCTCCCAGCCTGAGTTGGAGCATGGTCTCTACAGGTAAAGGCTTTGGTGTTTATCAGTTGTGATTTGTAGAAATAAAACTTTAAACCTTTAAAAAAAATTCCATAAGTACTATTTCATGACATACTTATAGCAACATACTTTATCTTTAATAAATAAATAAAACCTGGGGGGAAATGAGATAATCTTCCTTCATACTGAGGTGTTTCTGTCCAGTTCCATTTAAACATATCACTTTGGGGTCACCTGAGTGGCTCAGTCAGGTAAACATTTGACTCTTGATTTCAGCTCAGGTCATGATCTCAGGGTTGTGAGATTGAGGCCTGCATGGGGCTCCCTCCTCAGCAGGGAATCTGCTCTCTCCTTCT